TGCAGACAGTTTGCATTCAAGGCCAATCATCTGTCTCTAACCGCATGTTCTCCCAGCTCCTGTCAGCCAGTTATTGACTTGTACAGGTTTCCGGCTGTGGCTGCCCACAAGCACCTGGGCTCCTAGCCTCCGATATCCACAGTATACTTGCCACATCATGGCCAATTTGATTAGATGAATGAAGCCTAAGCTTTTTTCGTATTACTTTATAATTGCAACAGAATCTTGGCAGCCTGCCAGCCCTCGTAATCTAAGCACACAGCAGGATTTTCTAAGCTATTAAAATGAGATTGAACCCGGTTCTAAAGTCAATGCTTTGGATATTTGAGAATGAATTGGTGTACTGTACAAGCAGCTATAAGGTTCAGTGAAGTCTTGCTAAGAACAGAATTTGTAAATACTTTAATGCCCATAGTCTGTGCACAGATGCACTTTATATAGGAAGAAGGATTAGCCGCACACCGGAGGATTGAAGAATTATAGCAAATATTTATTGATCCACATAGAACACCCGGACATGTGTGCAGAACTTGTTAATGCATTTCACACGATCATGTGCTTATTCATAGGCTATGATTAAGCACATGATCATGGGAAACACGTTAACAAGTTCTGTACACATGCTCTTGTGTTCTGGTGTTCTATGTGTCCTATGGATCAATAAATATTTGCTATAATTCATCAATCGTTCGGTGTGCGGCTAACCCTTCTTCCTATTGCATCACGTGTGGTGGCGAGCCAGAGTCTGCACCTGCCTTGGTTTGATCTGGATTGTTTTCCTGAGCGGTAATACCTTTGCTTCGCAGATGCACTTTAACTGCATTCACACCTGAGCAGAGCGATTTTTTTTTAGGCGTTTTTACTTGAGAGTTTTGCAAGCATATACAAGCATTTTAGAACTGTATTTAAGCTTCAGGTGTATATGTTTTAGCCAATAGAAAGGACTAGAGGGAGGAGAATAAGGGTGGAGAGCTGCTGTTTGGCCAGAAAACATGTGACAAAAAAACACTCGTAAAACTCTCATGTGGAGCATTTTCAGCCATTCCCATTAAAGTCTATGAGCCCATAAACACTTCACTGTGTCTAAAATGAAGCTCATGTATTTTTTTGAGGGACAGGTATTTTGCTACAGGTGACAGAACAGTCACATGTGAACAGGGGCTATTGAATTGATTGGAATTTTGCTTGTTGAGCATCTTGGAGCTTTGACCTTTAAAAGTTACAAAAGTAAAAAAATGCTCAGGTGCAAATGGGGTCCAAGTGAGCTTGGGTTATTACTGCTGTCTAATATACAGATGTGTCAGAGATTTGCAGTAGCAGAACACAGTGCCATCTTTGGTGATGCATAGAGGAGTATCCCTATGGGTTGCACATTTATTTACAAAGCATGATTGGCTGCTTTTCATTTTCATCTTGGGCCTCCCTCTCCAGGTTATTACCCTTATTTTTGTTGTATTCTAAATTCACAATACTATGTCCAGCTGTGTAATAGGATTTGCATTGTTTATTGGCTGCCACCTTACTAATGATTCACTACACTAATTTACCTAAACCTATTAACTGGAGGTATAAGAACATAAAAACACAACCAAACAAATAAGCATCACTTTTATGGTTGAATGATGTTCTTTTTCTACAATTTAAGACATATGTCAGAGGTTCTCCTGTTTATATTTGTGCTTTATATTTGTAAACACACATGTACTGGACTGACATGTCGAATCCATATACTAAATTTTAATTCTATTATCTCCTCTTGAATCAATGTTAAATATATTCTAGTGGCAACTGCACAAGAATTCATTAACGATGATATAATAATCCACATTTATTGTTTTCTATCACATTTCCACTTACAATATTAATAGATTTCTTATAATGTCATTTTATTGTAAATAATGTGGTACAATCTCTTCTAATCTCAAAATATGTATTGTGTTTAGTATTTTTGTGCTCAATATTTTTCTTGCTGAGGAGTAAAGTAGACCATCCCTCACAAATTTCAGTTTGTTTTTTTTTTTTCATAGTTTACAAAATTTCTTGCTTATGAGCAGCTTTACAACTGTATCAGTCATCACATGGTATAAAATTCTACCTCGTATTACCCTGAGGTTTTTGGTTTAATGTTTGTCTTCCATTATTCGCCATCATCTGTATTAACACAGGTACCTCTAACCTGCCTTTCTCTGCAAATTTATTCTCAAAACTGAGAAACTGGGTCTGCCTTAAAGCATTCATTGTTGCCACAGGCTTATGTGTAAACCAATTTGCCTTACATTATTAGTTACATTATTGTACTTTTGGTTTCCCTTAGGCCCCTTTCACACGGTCAGATCGTCTGTTCATTTTCATCCATCCGTTGACAGATGAAAAACAGACAGCAATGTATTTCTATGGACCAACAGATGTGAACAGATGATCATCCATTTACCATCCGTTTACATCCATGTCTGTTCTGTTTTTTTAAATGGACAAGGCTCCATCTAGATCCTTTGAAATGGAACGGATGTAAATGGATGCCATCTGTTTACATTCATTCCGTTTATATATGCATTTTTAGGCAAGAAACGTTTTTTGCTTATACTTTTGGCCCCTTTCACATGGGGCTGATTCCACTTGTGATCCGCTTGTTTTTTAGCAGGGATCTGTCTGCTGATCCCTCCTGAGCAGGCAGATGACAGGTCTGTACCTGCTCTGCTTATGCAGAGCGGACACAGCCCGGTCTCCTCTATGGGCTGTCCGGTACACCCGACTGCCATTCGATCCTCCTGGATGGAAGGGGAACAGATCCCCATCCATCTTTAACAGATCAGATTGAATGTAGGCGGCTGTAAACGAATTTCATAGAAGAAAACAAGGCTTCGATCGGGTCAGCCTGAGAAACGGACAGGCAGACCTGATCGGATTGTTCGTATGAAAGGGGTCTAAGTCACCTCTAGTTGGTCTCTGCAACAACTAAGAAAAAACAGGTGCACAAACAGATGTAGACTGATGTAAACGGAACTGAACTGAAGACAGATGTGTAAACTAATGTAAACTGAATCATTTTTTCTTTGGAAAAATGGGACTGAACATATGATGCCTGTGTTAAAGGGGTCTTATACTGTTATTATTATTATTACATCGAGCTTATATAGCGCCAAAGGGTTTGCTCAGCGCTGTACAATAGAGGGGGGGACAATACATGAAACAGTACAGCAACAACAAACAGCACACGAGGGGTTAGAGGGCCCTACTCTTTCGAGCTTACAATCTAGGAGGGAGGGGGTAGTGGTACAGGAGGAAGTGGCTGTGGGGGATGGAGTGGTAGGAGGAATCAAGGAGGAACGGCTGCTAGGTGAGGGTGGGGTAGGCTTCCCTGAAGAGGTGGGTTTTCAGGGAGCGCCTGAAGGTGAGGAGGGTAGGTGATAATCTGATGTTCTTTAACTTTCTAATTCATGCAGCTGTCATGGGTTTGATTAGATCCTTCCTGTCACCAGATGGTTCTCTTCAAGGCACAGCCTTTATGAGTGCCTGACTTTTATCAAATCACTGGTTTGGGGGGCAGGGATTTTGCTGCAGGGGAACTTCCAGAAATCATTCCTTAAGATTGGCAGGCTGGATGTCGTAACAATGAGTGTAAAAAGGAGCCGGTCATGTGGCCGCGATGGGGCCGTGCAGCAGCACAATCTACCACCGGCTTTTGTCCACATTTGGGGGACACAGCCTATGACATATCACTACACTGGCCTGTGACCAATCACAGCAGATCACATATCAATTGTATAAAAAGAATGGCTTCCTGTCATGCCATCCATTATATACAATTGTGTTGTTAGCTGTGAATGGTCAAAGCAGTCACATGGTACAGACAGAGCCAATCAATTGTATAAAAAAGAATGGCTTCCTGTCATGCCATCCATTATATACAATTGTGTTGTTAGCTGTGCATGGTCAAAGCAGTCCACATGGTACAGACAGAGCCAATCGCATCATCCCATCTGTATCATGTGATGATCTTTGCCCAATCACAGCTAATCACAACAAAAGACTGAATGAATCAGTTTTTTGGTGACAATATGTAAAAAAAAAAAAAATTGTGATTTTTTTTTTTTTTTTTTTTTCTTTTTTAATTTCTACATTTTCCAAAAAATTGTAACAAAAAACTACATCCTCCAAAAAACTCACCATGCCTCTTATTAAATACATTGGACCATCTATTTTCCAAAAATGGGTAATTTGGGGGGTATTTGTACTATTCCGGCGTTTTGGGCCTCAAGAAATGAGATGGGCCGTCAGTACATCAGGATTGATCGACTGTTATATATACCATGGTTTGTGGACTCTATAGCTTTCCTACAGACTAAATAATATACACTAATTTGGGTTATTTTCACCAAAGAAATGTAGCACAATACATTTTGACTTAAATTTATGAAGAAATGTTATTTATTTGCAAAATTTTATAACAGAAACAAAGAAAAAAAAATTTTTTTTGAACGTTTCAGGTTTTTTTTTTTCATTTACCAAAAAATAAAAAAACTGGTGATTAACCACTAGCCTACAGGGCACTTATACCCCCTTCCTGCTCAGGCCAATTTCCAGCTTTCAGCGTTGTCACACTTTGAATGACAATTGTGCGGTCATGCAACACTGTACCCATATGAAATTTTTATCATTTTTTTGTGACAGAGCTTTATTTTGGTGGTATTTAATCACTTCTGGATTTTTATTTTTTCTTAAACCAAAAACCACTGAAAATTTTGGAAAAAAAAATGTTTTCTTAGTTTTTGTTATACAGTTTTGTAAATAAGTGATTTTTAGGCTGCACTGTTGGACACTGCTAGGTGGCACTGATGAGGAGGCACTGGTAGGTGGCACTGATGGGCATTGACAGGCATCACTGATGGGCATTGACAGGCAGTACTCATATATGACACTGATAGGCGGCACTGACTGGCACTGATAGGCGGCACTGACTGGCACTGTTAGGCGGCACTGATAGGCAGCACTGACGGGCACTGATAGGCGGCACTGATGCACACTGATAGGCGGCACTGACTGGCACTGATTGGCAGCATTGATAGGTGGCGTTGACTGGCATTGATAGGTGGTACTGACTGGCACTGATGGGTGACACTGAAAGGCAGCTCAGATGGGCACTGATATGTGGCATTGATGTGCACTGGTAGGCACTGATATGTGGCATTGATGTGGCACTGATGGGCACTGGCAGGTGGCATGGATGAGCACGGAGAGCTGGCACTGATGGACACTGGCAGGTGGCACTGCTGGGGCTACACTGATCATCAGTGCCCTGATGATCAGTGCACATGTCCCCTCCGAGGAATGCTGATTACCGGCTCTCCTCTCCTCACGAGCTGTCAGCTCATGAGGAGAGAAATGCCAATAACCGGAATTTCCCTGTTTACTTGCAATCAGCTGTGATTGGACACAGCTGATCACATGCCCGAGCCGATGTCTTCGTCTCTTTCTGTGGATCGGTGATCTGCTGTGTCCAAGGGACACAGCGCACCGCCGATCGCCGCGCTGCACGCTCCCAGAGCCGTGCATACGCGGTGAGAATGGGAGGACGTCATATGACGTCCTCCCAGAATGAGAAAACCGCCTTATGTCCATCATTGGACTATATGGCGGGCGGGAGGCGGTTAAATGCCACCAAAAGAAAGCTCTATTTGTGTGAAAAAAAATAAAACATTTTTATGGGTACAGTGTTGCATGACTGCATAATTGTCATTCAAAGTGTGACAACACAGAAAGCTGAATATTGGCCTGGACAGGAAAGGGGTAAAAGTGCCTGGTATTGAAGTGGTTAAAGAAATATGTTGCTCATACCCTTCTGAAAACACGAGTTATTTGCTTTGCTGACTGTCTGGCTTCAGCACTTTGTACGTTACAGATGAATTTGATTATTTTTACTGTTTTTTAGGAGCCCTGTTGGGGGGCTTAGGAGATGGGAATCCATGTGCTCAGCTGGGCGAGATGGAGGATCCTGGTGCTCATCTGGAGGAGATGGGGGGGTCCTGGTGCTCTGAGGGGGGAGAAGGGGGTACTGGTGCTCAGGGGCGGACTGACAACTCATGGGGCCCCTGGGCAATAGGGGTGTCATGGGGCCCCTGTGTCCTTGCCCAATTTCAAAAAAGCCTAAGAAAAAGGTACCAGGGGCATGTCATGGAGCCCCCTACTGACCCCAGGCCCTCAATAGGGGATCATGGGGCCCCTGTGTCCTTGCCCAAACTCAAAATAGCCTATGAAAAAGGTACCAGGGGCATCTCATGGGGTCCCCTACTGACCCCGGGCCCTCGGGCAGTGCCCGAGTTTCCAAATGGTCAGTCCGCCCCTGCTGGTGCTCAACCATGGGAGATAGGGGGATCCTGGTGCTCAGCAAGGGGAGATGGGGGCACTGGTGCTCATTTGTGGGAGATGGGGGTCCTGGTGCTTAGTGGGGGGAAACCGGGGGTCGTGGTGCTTAGTGAGAGGACACGGGGGCACTGGTGCTCAGTGGAGAGAGATAGGAGTTCTGGTGCTTAGTGAGGGCACTCAACAGCCAGTCAGTGGGGAGGGGTTCACTCAATGCAGTGCACTGTGTAGATGCTACCCCTGCTCCCCCCTAGTTTTGGCCCTGATTGAAGGGGTTAAGCGAACATGGAATGAGGCTGATTATTCCAGAAGGTATCAGATCACCCCAAATCCTTCCTTCTGGTACAGGGTTCCTATGTCTGTCCATAATATATGAGAGTCTCCCAGTGACTGATGTTGGGGTGTCTGTGTCCCCTGGACAGCCCCTGGGCTCTCAAGGGTTAACCAGGAGCCGATGTACCAATCAAATAAGGACAATCTTTGCTCAGTGCTCTGTCTTTGTGCCTATCTGTGCTTGGAGTGACACACAGCGTTGTCCCCTTTAAAATCCTGTAGGTGCCACCAGCTGATCTCCCCTAGGCTGTGGATCACAACAAGCGCTGAATTACCATAGAGCTTATCTCCATGGGCAGTGCTGAATTCCTTCAAGGTTGACTCCCTCCCAGGTACTACTGGTTCCCTTCTTCTAGGCTGACGCAGACTCGCTCCTCTGGGATCCTGGCCAGGATCTGCAAGTCAGCGCAGCAAGCGGCTGAATCCGCATCTGGGGTCCGGATCCCAGCTCCCCCCTGCGATCAGTGACATGGTAGTGCAGGCTCACTCCAAGCAGCTAGTGGTTTGTGACAGTGAGCTTGGCTCCCTGTGATTGAATGCAGCTCAGGTCAGTTTGAGAAAGTCCAACCCGATCCAACCTCCCAAATCCAAGCTAATGTCAGCACCGCAGACTTTAGACCCTCTCAGTTTGGCTCCCAGGGTCATCATCTCCTCTCTCAATTTGGCGCCCCGGGGCAGATGGCCCCCCCCTTCCCTCCTCTAAGTTCATCCCTGCTTCACAAGATTAGTCAGAATGTTTGTTATGCAGCTTTTCCAGATGGTGGTTTGCAGTGACAGCCTACATATTTCTGTGATGAAATGTGTGCTTTAAGCGTGTAAGTGCTTGTGTGTGCCAACCAGAAAGTGGAGTTTTGGGGCTTGATGGCCCACTTTTATTTAAAACTAAAGTTCAAACAAAACAGTTGACCCTGCAGGGTTTCTACCATCACCTCAAAAAGTTACATTTAACCCTCCAAGCTTACTCTAACAGCACTGCTGTTAAACGGGCAGACCTTTTGCTGGTCCTTCAGACTATTAAAAAGCACCACTGTGCTCTCGTCCAACCTCTATACCTTTTGCAGCTCCTTGCTGCTTTCACCGAACTCACTGTGCAGACGTGGACACCTCTGGCTGCTTTCTTGCAGCCTTACAGATTCCTAGGAAGGATGGAGCACACAAACTATGGCTAAACCCTTCATTATAACAGCCTGCTGATCTCTGGTAAGAACTGGAGAAGAGACAACATATGTGGACTCTATAGGCACATTCCCGACACAATTGTTAGTTAAAACTTAATAGTTCATTTGAACCATAATCATAAAAATGCAATATATATCACACAATAAAAGACTCTTCCAAAGAATCACTAATGTTGGAGCATATTAATGTTCACCCCTTAATAGTATGGATATTAACAATTGATAATGGCAACGGTCTGTAACCCTTCCATATACTTCCAACTGTTGGGGTGCTCCTATCCACCAGAGGATTACGTGTTCTACATGTTTTGTGATGAACTGTCCCTTCTTCAGTAGCTATTGTCTATATGAAAGCAGAACAAACATAATAAACATACATATTCAGTTAACATCTAGTTTATATTCAGAGATAACTAGTGCACGACTTACTAAAAACTTCACCAAGTGGTCAGATATACAATTGAGCAGAGGACCCCGTGAGATGACAATAGGTCTGATAGTGCGAGGATGTGGAGGTACATGCAGAAGAAGAGGGGGAGGAGAGGGTGGAAAAGACTATTTGGGAATGATTTCCCATATTAATGAGAAAAATTAGGATATCAAATTTACTCATGACCAGAAATATGGGGGGAAAATAATGTAGTACAAATATGATAAGTACCTATTAGAGGTTTTAGGTAGCTGGCCTCGATGAAATGATGCTATAGCAATTGAAAAACTCACCAGGGCTAGCTAAGAAGGAACTATTGCTTGATTATCTATTACCTTTCAAGTACGGGCCCTTATTTAGGTGATCCGGGAATTACTTACTAAAACGGCCACAGGTTCTATGGATACAAATTAAGAAACAAATATTAAAAAGTTAAATATTACATTTCTAGTGATCTATTGAAAATCCTATGCATATAATTTCCTTATATTAATTGCAAAGTTTACCTTTGGAGTAATGTCACACAACCAAGATGCGCCAAGTTTACTCAAATTCGTGACCTCTTCCCTTGTACAGGCCCACTCTAGTCCCTCCAAAAGGTGCTTATAGCCACAGATTCCTATAATTATTATAAGCAAGTTAAAGCATCCCAAATAATGCCCCTCTCGGGCCGATAAGGCTTATATGTGGACCAAAATGAACAATTTTTTAATTATATCTTTATTCATTTTTATTATATGAATCCATTTTATACTTCAGTATTTTTATTGAAAAATTGGTATACAGTGGTATACACAGAAATAGAAACAATTTCCACCTGCATGGTGAAATGGAAGTTCATAAACATATTCATAGAACATATAAGCACATGAAAAATATTATTAGTCAATGACAATATATACAGAGAACACCATCTCCACCAGGTAACAAACGTTCCATCAATCATTGAACATAGGCATTGCCATAGAAATTTGCCAAAAGTATAAAAACCAATTCAGAAAAAAAGGATTAAGAATATCTAGGATAAGACAGAAAAGAGGGGAGAGAAGAGGAGAGAGAAGGAAAAAAAGACACCCAAGGGGGAGAGAGAGAGAGAGGTTCAGCTGCAGCACTATTAAGATATAGATATATATCTGATCCATGGTTCCTACGTCACCTCAAATATAGAAACATCATTATTGACAATGCTTGTAAGTTTATCATTTACCATTATCCAATTAAGTTTTTGTTTAACCCCGTCTAGCGGGATCAGTGATTGTCTCCAACTTCTAGCTATGGTAATGCGTGCCACCAATAAGAGGTAAAAAATTAATTTAGTCGATTTTTTTGGGAACGTCAGCGGGTAGCAAATGAAATAAGGCCACTTCCGGTGATCTACGAATATTAATTCCTGTTACCGAATAGATAAAATGAAACATTCGGATCCAAAACCTATTCACTACTGGACATTTCCACCAGATATGGAACACAGCACCCTCTTGTCTGCAGCGTTGGAAGCAACTAGGTGAAACTGAAGGGTATATTTTAGCAAGGCAAGGAATCAGATACCAACGAAGTAGCTTTCTATAATTGGATTCGATAAGAACAGTATTAATCGAGATCTTTGATAAAGTATGGGCCGCATTCCGCCAAGTATCCAGGTCTAGTGAGCTATTCAAATCCCTTTCCCATTGAGTCATATAGGATAATTTAGTGAGTGGATCAACAAGGAAAGCATAGATAATGGACAAACGACCCCTCATCATCCCAGTTGCCCCACAGGAGACCTCTAAAGGAGTGAGTGTGCAAGGTTCTAAGATTAATTTGAGTTTGCTAGTGATAAATGAGATAAGTTGATAGTAGCAAAACAATTCCCCAGGAGGCATCTGATACTTTGTCAAAAAGCACTGGAGAGAACGAGGACGAAGCCCATCCAGGTAGTCTCCGATATGCAGCAAACCCTTATTCATCCACCATTGGAACACCTACGGTGATAAGCCAGGAATAAACACAGGATAGCAAAATATTGGAGCTAGTGGGATATGTGGGGAGAGAAAGGTTTGCGAGCTCGCCATCTATCCCACACAGTTAACGAATAGGACAACGTAGGACATAGAATAGGAGGATTCAATCGACTGGGAAGTCACATGAGAGCACCAAT